GCGAACTGTCAATGCCGTCTCGCCGTCGCCAACTCGGGTTCAGCGGTTTGTGTGACGTAACCCGACTGGACTGGGGACAATTTTTAATGGTCATTTCAGAGCTGGTGCTTCACGGTAGACAAAAACTAATTACATTTTTTAAATCAGCATCGTCAAAATAGGGTGGTCACCGAGCAGAATTGCATTTTAAGCAATATTTAAGAAAATTCGTGTTTTTTCCCCCAAGAATATTATGCTTCATGAATACCAGCTGTGTTGTAGTGTAATTAATTAAAAAAAAATTTCTAGATCTAGATATCTCGGCTTTACTGTGTCAATAGAGTGTGATTTTGAAGAGACGAGGCCTGTGTAGTTTTTCGTTGTGCATCTAGAGATCTGCTTATCTGGCTGTGTCGTGTCTTGTCAAAATGGATGTCGATTTACAATAATAATAATAATAATAATAATAATAATAATAATAATGAAGATCATTTCTATAGCGCCCACTCCCGTGTAAACACAGCTCTAGGCGCTTTACATAAAATACATGTACGAACAATATTCACGCACGCGACACAAACACAAAAATACACTCACTCATACACACACACACAAACACACACAAACACACACAAACACACACACATACACACATACACACACACAAACACACAGACATACACACTCACGAACACATAACACGCACACATGTGCACACACACACACACACACACACACACACACACACACACACACACACGCACACACGCATCTACTTGCTTATCACACACGCACGCTTACACGTCGTCACGAAATGAGCATAAAATCTACACAATGCAAATCACAAAATACATAACTGGATACATAGTCATTTACATAACATTGTATTGAACCTGAATCTACAGACAAAAAAAGATGTCTTTAAATGTGTCTTTAAAGATTTTTAAAAATTTAGACTCAGATGTTGTATGTCTCAAGGGTTGGGGAAGAGAGTTCCAAACTGACGGAGCAAGGTGGGCGAACGATCTTTCACTTTCAGCTAATTTTTTACCCCCTTTTCAAGGAACTCTTAAAAGATACTGATCGCCTGATCTTAGTGATCTAGATGGAACATACATCTGGATGAGATCACTAAGATACGAGGGAGCTTTGTTATTGACACATTTATGACATACTATTGCAATTTTATATGACATTCTACCGGACACGGGAAGATGATCTTTCTCCTCTCTCTCTCCCTCCCTTTCTCTCCCTCCCTCTCCCTCCCTCTCACCCTCTCCCCCTCTCTCTCTTCCTCTCTCTCTTTCCCCCTCTTTCCCCCTCTCTCCCCCTCTCCTCCTCTCCCCCTCCCCCTCTCGGATGACGAGTCCATTCTTGTAAATTTGTAATCACTCAAGACCTAGAACTAGATTCTAGATACGGTAGATGTAGGCAGACTAGACAACAGTAGATCAATGCAACGCGAGCTTAAAGGGATCGGCAATAGGCGTCCTCTATGTGGAGTCAAGCAGACACCTACTGGCGCCTGTCCGAGTCGATCTTCAGCCGCTTAAGTTTCGGCTTTCTTTATGTTATCGCCCTAACGCTTGGAGAGAGAGCCTTTGGCGCACTGACTCAGGTAGGCCTACCGTATTTGAGGATAAGAAATTTCACTTGACTATCCCCTATTTCTCAAAGTCACATCAATCAACAAATACAGCAAAACTTATCCCCTTTGTGACCCATATGGTGGATGCTGTTAATTTTTTTTTTACGGCGAAGGAAGCAAGTTCTCCTGGGACCTACTGTGCTTGTCATGCCTTGTGAAGCACGAGGACCATGATGATGAACGTCGTTCATCATATTTTGCATTTGACATACTGCTTCATAAGATGTATTTCATAAAACTAATTGCAGATCCGCATTCAGCCACATTTTTCGGGGTATTTTTAGAAATCTTTTCCTTTTAGAGATAGCAGAATTTATAAACTGCATGTATGCATCCAACCACTAATCTAGCGCTACCCTTCCGTGGTGATCAAAATTGAAACTGCCCGGTGAAGCATGAACTGACCCTGTGTAAGGAAGGGGTTAATGCCTATAGTCTTGTAGGCTCGTGCTTCATGCATTCACTCACTCTGACTCTGAGAAGTGTATAAGTGGAGAAAGGGAGATTACCACTAGGCCCTAAGCGTACGCAGTTGGTGAGTCGCTGGTGTGTAGTATGTTACTGTAGACTGTATGCGGCACCTCTGGTGTGTAGTGTGCTCTGTAGACTGTGTATGCAGCACCTCTGGTGTGTAGTGTGTTACTGTAGACTGTGTATGCGACACCTCTGGTGGCCACAAGTGAAGGGGTTATTGGGAAAATTAACATAAGTACATTTCAGGGAGGGGGCTAATAGCATGTTTATAAAGACATTCCTTTTCGTGCATTTACAAAATCTGATGGGAAGCTGAGCTAGTAAAACAGGGTGGCAGTTTTACTGGGTTTGAGAGTATATATATCGTCGGCGGAGAATTCTAACCGTCCAACTCCAATTTCGTAAATTTTGCAGGAGAGACAAAAAACTGAATTCAAAGGCTCCTATGGGGATTTACTATCTTTAAATGCGCTAGACTGGAATACATGACTCTACTTTTAAGTATTTAAAACAAAATTGCC